TGAACTATTAGTTGATAAACGATGTGGTTCTGGTTTAGGTAAAATAGGTCGTCGTGAAGTTAAACTGGGGCTGTTTGAAGTCGACTTTAGTGGATCTGAAATATTTGACAATGAAGCATATTGTTTATTATGTTCATATGTTGAATGTCGTCGTGGCGAATATGTAGATGTTGGTGCTTTTTCTAAGTTGTTCCTATTTGTTGCAATGCTGTTGATACAGTGTTCATGATGTACGGTAAATAAGGGTGTGGGGTGTTCTTGTTCAAATCAATCTTCTTGTAATTCTTGTTCGTCCTTTGCAATTTTTAAGAATGCCTGAGTTGTTCGTGTTGATTCTGATAATAATTTCATCTGTCGTTGAATTTGAACTTTTAATGAATCTTTAATTCCATTTTCTAACCACGATATCATCATTTTCTGGGACATAGTTGAATCAAATTCACGACATAGTTTTATAATAGCGTCATAATATGATGTAATTGTTTCATCGGGTTTTTGTTTTCGTTCTTTGAATTGTTTGAATATTTTTGATGATGAATCAGATATTGTGAATCTTTCTAATAATGCTGGTTTTTAAATTTTCCTACTGGACTAACGTCATGTTGTCTTCATACCAGCGTTTCGCTTCATCATTTAATTTTGATGTACACATACAATGTAAAATATCATCATTTGTATCGATCATTCTTCCGATCCTTTCAATATTATTGATAAATTGTAAAATGTTTTGTTCTTCACCATCATTGATTTTTTTCTAAATTTGATAAACATTCTCGATAGCATATCATCATCGCTGAATCCAGTACATTGTTATGCATTATTTCTATATGTTGATGTGTGTGATCAATAGTATGAATTAATGATTCTAATATTAGTTTCTTAACTGTACATTCTGATGTTTCTGTTAATAAGTCACCGTTTAATTCAGAACCTGTATCAAGACTCCATAAATTGTAAGGTGTTGTTTAAGATTGAATAATTTCCTTGTGTAAACAATAAATTGATCATACAATATGTTTATTTTTTATCGGGTAATTCGGAATGAATTTCCTCTTTAGTTGATTTTTTCAAGCATTGAAATTATTCAGATCACTCCTAATTTGGAAAGTCCTATGGCAAGATTTTTATTATTGTTAAATAATAAAAATAATCGGTCGCGGCACCAAATATTACAGATCTAATGTTCGACCTTTTCTTTATTGATTTCAAAATCGCAAAATATCCACACATTTACATATAGCTATATCTCTACCTGCACCGAAGAGAAAAAAAGACATATATTTATATATATCAGCTACCTAGATCAAGGGTTACACTTAAAGACAATGAGAAAAAGAGTGATCAAGGTTATATAACATCAAGAAAGATGTAATAGAAGAAAAAGAAAAAGAAAAGTAACAATAAGGAGGTGGATCCGCTAATAGATCCAAGAATGAGATACGAACAGTGGTGTATTCTTGACATGTGAGCAAGCTTTTTTTTGATGGATAGCCAAAGTCCTTGAATTCTAGCCATGGAACGTTATCGATCACCGTATAATCGGCATTCTCATTCCAATTTTCGAGGCTTCAGCGACCAACACAATGATTTATGACACCTGGTAGACTTAGAGCAAATGTTGTTTTTCCTAATTTTTTTTTATTATAGAATAAAGAACAGCCGTACTATGAAAAATGTCTACGTCAATGATCTGTTACGTACCTGCGTCAGATGGACCTATTAAAATAAGAGTTTTCTGTCGACCGTCTTTTCTGATGAAATGTTTGACCAACCATTGATTTATATTATTTCCTATAGTATGTTGTTAGAGTTGACAAAAAAAAAGTATGTTAAATATATGTCAAGCAAGAATCCCTACTGAGGTTTGGTGTCAGTCTGGAAAAGATTTAGTGCAACAGTACTTTTTAATAAATGCCTTTGTCTTCGATCTTGGAATTTTGCTTGTATATGGATGTATTGAAGATTCGACTCGTATCTTTTTTTTATAAAAAGAAAACAAATCAAATTATTTCTGAGAGTTTTTCACTTTGTTTATTAAAAAACGGTAAAAGTTTAGTATTTAAATAAATATACTTACCGTTTCAATCTCTTTACGACCTCTTCCAGTACGTCTTTTGTAATAATATTCATTGCAGCAGGAACGCTAGTTTTACAGGCCTGGACTATTCGAGCGGTCAATTCATAAGAAATGCGATCTTGTTGTACTATTTAAAAAAAAAGAGAGGCGATGCTTTGCGTTTAGTAACGAGTATCCAAGAAAGAATAGGAGTCTTGGTATTTTAATGACATCACGCTTCATATTTGTGTGACTGGTCATGATTTTTCTTTTAAAAGATAGATCTTTTGATGATGTGCAAAATAATTTCTTTTTTATTTTGTTTTTTTTTTAGTTGTATTCACTTTTTCTAAGACATGATTGAAACAAGCAGTCAACGATGGGCAACTTCTTTTTTGCAACAACATCTTTTCGAATTTGTGTTTCTCGATTGCACGTTTCAAGTCTTCAATAAGCGTATCTGCTCAGTGTTACTTTGTTCTAGTTGATAGTTTGTGCATACGCATCGTAAACGAATTACCCAACCAGTTTAAGTCTCGACTATTCGGCAGTCAATGATCTTCATCTATGAACAGTAGCAAAGTATCCTAATACCATTTTGGTGTTAGGTAATGAAGGTGAGATTTCGCGCCGTTCTGTTGACATTTCCAATGTTCTCAAAAGTTCTCATATTCCATATGTTTGTGCTCTCGAAAATACTTATGGGAATATTCAACATGAACTAATTTGTCTTGATCGAGAATGATTAAGAATGTTATTGCTTTAGAGTAGACAGCTAGTTAGATCATTAACTTTTGCGAAAACTTCTGTTTCATTTCGATGATACTGCTTTCATTTTTTTTCAGCATGACTGGCCTCCAAAATACGTTCGTTTAAAGAACTTCATGTACGGTGAGTATCGAATTGTGTATTTCAGCCGTAAATAAAATCCACATTGTGTCTTCTTTTTGAGAGTTATTGAAGTCCCATTCGACGAATCCTTTTCATTTTGTCTTTATGTTCGTGAATAACTCGTAATTCGCTTATTTGTCCTTTTTTATGGATATAGAGGTCTAGAACTTCTACCAATGGTCAATATGAACTTAACTTGGCATGCCGTATTCTTTAATCAATGTTCGAACGAATACCATCTTTTTCCTTCTTGATCGAGTTTGTGTTTGACATTCTGGATCATTTTACTGGTTTAAGACAGACCTAACATATCTGGTAATGCTAATAGCTGAGTAGAATCAGTGACATGGATCATAGTACGCCATCTTTTGTTGGTATTGAGTCCTAAGGACCCGTTCAAATGCTGAGAGGTTTTAGTCAGACCATCACCATCGTCGTACTTAGAAAAAAAACTAGTTTTTGAAGATTTTTACTTTCTGTCTGCTAAAAAGGCAAAATATGTTTCTGTGAAATACGAAGCATAGGTTCCTGCAGGTGATAACAAGACGACTACTATTTAAAAACTGCGGTCTAAACGTCTGGGAATTAATACAGATGTCACTAAAATATTGAGAGGTTCGTGGTTTCTGGGACACTCGTTAGTACTTTTCTTACGTCGTCTTTAGATTTGGACCATTTTTTTGTACCACGAGTTGATGAGCTTTTAAAATAACTATATTCAGTGAAATTGAATCCGAAGCAAAACAAAGTAGTATGTTGTTTTACTCTTCGATCTTTTATTGAACGTTAGTAGAAGTCATTTTTTTCAACAGCGTTGTTCTAACCTTTTTTTAATGAATTCGTTCCAAGCAAGATCTCATTTTGTAACATGGTATTCACAAGCGCATTCTGTGTAAAAAGGAGAAAGTGCTAAATGAATAACTAATGCAACCATTTAAGTTTAAATAGCGAAGAAACATACCGACAAATTCCTCCAGGAAAGGTTGATAGATTGACTTTCCGTCCTCTAAAAGAATTTGAATATGAATTGGAGGCATATCAATACCAGGCTCGTTTGATTAGCAACACAAATAAATATTGGCGACAAACGTTTCACTTTAAAAAAATCCTTTATGTACCTAAGTACTTCTGTTCCTACATACACATAAATAGATAACAATAAACATTATCAGATGAATACATATGGAGAAGAAAAAAGATAGTGATTGAATTGATATAAGAATATCTTACTTGACACATAGGTAAAACTTGATATAGCCATTGTTTTACAATTCATGTGGAATTTTTTTGAAAATTTGTCTTTCTTTTTAATTGGTTGATGTGCTTCGGACAATGTAAAGCCTTTGTCTTTCGCAATAGTTTTTGCATCTAATAGCATTGACGAATGCGAAAGCATAGAAGAAAACGGACGATAAACGTTTCATATAATTTACCTATATCCCCAAACTCGAAGTACGGGCGTTCATGTTCGTGAACATCGCCTTCACAATCGGTAGGTGGGCATGGACGAGTCCAAACATCACCTTGCTCATTAATAATAACAGAACTATCTCTAATAGGCGTGATAGTATGAGAAATATCATTACCAATGAAACCTGTATCGAATGATGGATCTACATGAATATTATTTCCAGATAAACCATCAATGAACATCAACGAAAAAAGTGTTACTTGAAATAGAGCTGTCTTCGACTTCCATTTCTGTTTTCGAATCAATATAGTCAACCAAAAATTGTGCCATTTTTTTTTGAATCAAATGTTTCTGTGTAAAACAAGTGATAAATTGAAGAATGAAGTTGATAAATATCTAAAAACAAATGCAAACGCTAAAAATTTCTGATCCCTTAGTCATTGATTATTCTTGTCTTGTCTTATCATTCCTCTGATTCATTTAAACAGGTTATTCACATTTTTGCGACCGATGATCAGAAGCTAGAAAATGAAAATTTCCGTGCACGTGAATTTTTCTGTTACTAAAACACGGTGATACGAGACATGTGTTTTCCAAAACAAAACGATGCTACCTTACAAAATGTCTTTACGTCATTTTCTTGACTACATCCAGTCTCCGTCAGTTGAAATCTTTCAAAACGTCTTTTCTTTTTCTTTTTAGTTATTCAAGTGTAACCTTTTTTAGTATTTCATTCTTTTTGAAATTTTTCGAAAAGTAAACCGACAAAAACCAAAATAGACATATATTGGCGTGCACAATCGACACGATATCCCAAGATTTATGTCTTTATTTCACTTCAAATAGTAATCAGGAAAAAGGTGACTAATAAAGAGTAAGTAACAGCAACCCATGTGAAAATTTTTTCCATTGTAAGATATTGATAAACGGCTTAGATTAGCTTATATTCATACTAAGAAAGCGCTTATACGAGCACATTTCAAGCCATTTACAAATATTTCAAATATATTTACACGTTCTTCAGCAATTAAAGCGATAGTAAAAGTTCTTCTAAGTCGCTTGTGGCAGCCTAAAAAGTCTAATTCTAAGTTCTCACCAGCTGCTTAGATCTCATCTATTGGACAGTAGCTGATAAGCGCTTGAATGTAATAAAACTCAGCGCTTTGCAGCTGCTTAAGTTCCATGTAGCTGGAAAGCACTTTATAATTGCGTTATATTTTAGTAATTATCAGCTGCTATACAATATATGAGTTCTAAGCAGCTGATAAGAGCTTAGAATTAGACTTTTTAAGTTGCCACAAGCGACTTAGAAGAGTTTTTACTATTGTTTCAATTGCCGATAAGCGCTTAAATATATTTGAAACACTTTTAAGTTACCCTTATCAATTAAATTTTCCCATGGGATATCTCTCGTTACACAGGTTTTATTTTTAAATAAAATTATTTTTAGTAAGTTCTCTTAGCTTGATCGATTGTAGTAACGACCAGGAAAATGCAAGCTTGTTTATGTTCTGGGCTATCATGTAATCCATCCCTTCGTCAGTTGGTTAATTAACCAAACTAGAAGTTTCATGTCTAAAGCAATATTTGATAGGAAATAAACAATACTCGAGTACTGACAATGATCTTTTTCTTTGAGTACATCATTTTGCGAGACAATAATGATCATTTCAATAACGAAAAATACAAGAAAACTATTCAGAAATATCTACTGAAAACCATCTAGCCAATGTCAACAATGTTGTAATTGCACATTAATACGACATATTCTTACGATTACTTTGACTTTCTAATTATACAACAATAGATTTTGAGATAGCTGAGCATATTAAAATAGTTTTACACAAATACGAATGCCAAAAGTTTTTAGAAATTAATTTTATTTTTTGATTTAGAGAAATATTAAAAAAATGAAAAATATCGTCGTTGATTGACAGTTTTCAATATAGCTCTCGATCGTTTGATAGTTTTGTCACCAAACAATCTATTAAATTCTAAAAGAAAGATTACCTTAGGCCTCATAAGAATTCACATGCTTTTATGTACATAAATCTTGATCAGAGTTGTCACCTGGGTCGCTACAATCTACCGAATTTTTGGAATTTTTTATGTTGACTATAGCTGTCACATGGAAACCCTGATTTTGATCCTATTGTGTCCGTGAGATAGCTACTACAGACAACCACAGGAACCTTACGCACCACCACTCTATTCTATGTTTTCTAGTACGACGATAATTGATCAATTTTCAATTACTCTCAATAATCCTCGATATAGAAGAGATGTAATCGCTGATATTTAGACAACAGTATCATCTAAATGGTTGGAAAGCTCTCCGGATCTGACTCACCCAGGTGATTTGAATCCGACAGGAACCAACTGTCGCATTGCTCGACTTGGGCACAGATCTCCTACACACACCATCGACCGAGCTACCAGAATGAGAAGCTTCCACCACCTTCAAAAGTAATTGTCTCTTGTTTTTGTTTTCTTTCCAAGGAAGTTTTACAAAATACAAAAGATAGTGACTTTTGAAAGCTTTGGTCATTCCCACCTTTACCAGTACCAAAAAATACACAAAATGCAAACAGATGATGTCTGTATGTGTTTATGTGAATAGGATTACTGTATTGCTACAGCTTCTTCACGCACACAAATACATACAACCTAACATATCTACATAGACAAGCTGTATTTTCATTTCTAGTCGACCCCAGAGATTACGAAGAATAAAAGATTTGTATACCCTGTAAACTTTAGGATGTCTCAGAAATCCCAAACTTTGTGATTTTGTTTTTGGTTATCAAACTGATCATTATCTTGATTTTTGCCAGAATCAAGATTGATTATGATTAAATCTTCCTGAAAAGTAAGGAAAAACGCTTCGTAAAACTAAATCTTTTACATACCTGTTCTTTATAATATGCTTAGTGAATAATACTGTTTTGAGTGTTATACATTGATATAATTCAGGCAGATACGTAGAAAGATGAAGCAATAAATTAATTGACGAGAACGATACCAATAGTAACGATAAATAATTATTAAGTAATTAAATGATGCATTGATGAAGATGTGATACGACACTGGAAGTCATAACGAGAATTATTAATTTTTACAGAATTAGGTAAGAAACGACGATATTCGAATACTTACAAATGTTTATATAAATTTGTTGTAGTTGAATCAATTTTATTGGAATCGAAAGCAGCGATAATGATGACGGAGTCGTGAAAGAATTCTCAAAATTTTTTTTTGGTAACGATGTCAAGTTTTAATAAACTAGATAATAACGACGACAGTGACGATGGTAGCTATTATTATGAAGATATTCGACGTAGGGGTAGTTGAAATATGATGACGTGATCATCTTGCTTTACGACTTTCAGTAATCGTATCATGAGACAGTAAATATCACCTTCTCTCTAACACATTGGAGAGAGAACCTAGAAGAGAGCAACTTACCTCGACGTCGACGATTGTTAAAATGAACAAATGTAGAGAGGCAAGCCCTATATATAAGAAAAGAGAAAAATAGATCAGTGCTAGCAACTGGAAGGAACAAAAAACATTCGTCATCGATAATGAGAGAAAGGAAAAAATATCCGCTTAGCAGAATAAGAGGAAAGAAAAAAAACGGACATCTCCGTCCTGCACTAGTATAATTCGTCGCATTTCTCTTAATTAATTCTTTTTTTTATATAACCAATCAAAATAAAATAAAATAAACGAAAAATTCTAACAGATGCGTACAATAACAATAGGCGATTGATTGTTCTAAGGCATATGACTTTAATTGGGAAAACAGATCAATAAAAAATCTAAACCAAATGTGATCATGATAGAGCTAAAGTGAATAAAGAATAATTAGATTTGTCTATCGGTTAATGAATTTCAACGTAAGCTAGACCAACGATAACACTGATCCAATGTTCTTAAAATTATTCGACCAGGATAAATAAAAATATACATTGATGAGGTTGAAAATATATTTCATTTCTCAATCTCAACTTTTACTGCACGCTACTTCTCAAACAAAATGTCTCAAATCGAAAAACTCTTTTCTCTAACAGGAAAAGCAATGCTCCTTCATAAAAGTTACATATACACTATAGAATGTACAACAACGACGAAATTGATCTTTCGATGTCAGAATCGAAATTGTAAAAGTAAAGTGACTTTGAACATCATCAATCAATTAATTCAAATGAAAATCATTTATCAATTAAGCACGTTGTCATACCAATTTATCCATGGACACATTTTTCTCCCACCTAACATCACATTGACATGCTCCACAACCTGGTCGTGCTCCAGCCATCCAATTAAAGAACGAAATCAAAGCTCGTGCTGCGACGACAGATAACCCATCGTGCTCAATTCTTCATTCGGCTTTACGAACATATCTTCTGAATGCCGCTGGTGAACTTCCGAACACTGATGCACTCATACTCACGATTCGACGACAACGTGCCACTGAAGCAAGCGATGTCAATGGTCGTTTACCAGAAAAAATTAAAAAAGACATATCGTGATGAAGACTTTATCTTGCACGATGACGAAAAATTAATTATCTTTACGACGAAAAGTAATTTATCTATTCTGAAGCAAAACAAACATTGGTTCACGGATGGAACATTCAAGGTGAACTATCAATAAAATGTGTATCTCATTCTTTTCTAATTATCTTTGATGTAGATGTGTCCGGATGATTTTTACCAACTCTTTACATTAGACGCGATGATGACTAATGTAATTATTTCTTTTGTCTATGGATTATTAATTGGTAAAAGCAATGTAGATTACAATTTATTCTTCAAAAAAGTGTTGGAACAAGACAACTTCCAACCTGAATCAATTATGACTGATTTCGAAACTGGTACCATGCAATCAGTCAAAGAGATGCTACCTAACGTTTTGCACAAAGGTACATTCTAGTCTATTCACAAAAAAAAGATAATTAAAACGTTTGTTATAGGATGTCTCTTTCATTTTTCATAAGCGGTATGGCGGCAAGTTCAACACAAAGGATTGGCAACCAAATATAGAGAAGATGAGTGTTTTCGTTTAAATGTAAAAAAATTAATTGCTCTTGTCTTTGTTCCAGTAGATGAAATTACAGCTGCATTTGACTTCATTGCCGATCAATTCGACGATATCGCCGACGATTTATTCGATTATTTCGAAAAAACTTGGATTGGTGAACCAAAAAGAAGAGATAATGTTTTTTCTTCATTCTTGA